AGAATAATAATAATGATAAATAGTTAATTAAGACAGCCTCATATTTTTTCATGGAATAAAGCAGATTTTATGTAAATAATGTTACCGTTTTCAGTACTTGAGATATAATTATAACGAAATGTAAATTTAAATGTCGCGCTGAAATAACAAGATCGTCGTGTAATTTAGTAACTGAAAATGGCCAGGGCGTACATTCGCGTAATTATTATAATTTGACGATGAAATCATTCGTCGCGTTGAATAGTCTTCATTGACAAGCAGAAGCTGTGTCTATTGATTATTTGAGGGCATTGCACGCTAAAATGCAATTGTATAGAGTTCCATGAAAGAGGGAAGGGAAAACGAAATTCGGGAAAATAACGATTTAAATCGAGGCAACGGTTTTACATTATTTTTCGTTATTTCATGTTTTTAGAAAATAGACATTTGAAAATTATTCGAAATTATTCGAACGGAAAATTTTATCGATAAATTCGGATGTATTTTAAAACCTCGAAGATATGAGAAAAATTAGTTTCCGTATGGTCATATGGAAAATTATTGATAGTAGTAAAGTAATCTAGCTTGAAGTTTCTCCTATCTTGCTGTACTTAAAAAATGTGAATAAGATATATCTTATCTTTAGAAATATATGAGAGAAAAATAAATGTAAAAAATAACATACGTCAAAAATATTTCCTGCATTAGATTTCGATTAGTATACCAAAAATAATCTTTCTTGTAAAGAGAGATTTTATTTCGAGTAAAACGTATAAAAAAATTAATGCAGACTAATTAATTTTTTGAAAACAAGTTAAGAATTTCGAGATTATTTCTAGCAGAGTAAAACCACAACGCTAATGCATACGAATCTTATTTCAAATATAATAAAATATAGAATATTCGTAAATCATTTCGAGAAAGAAGAAAGAGAGGGAAAAATGATTGAATCTTTATACAGATTAATTCGATTTCGGTAAAGAGATAGCTTGACTAAAAGCGACAGATTGAACAGATTCCGACTCTTGAGGTATCGTCACCGGGACATAGCTAGCTCCTGCCGGCGCGGCGACACGCCGGCGTATAAGGAAGAACAGGGTTCTCGCGAGAGAGAGAGAGAGAGAGAGAGCGCGCGTTACCGCAGAGGGTTTGTTCCCGGAAGGGAACCGGTGGCACGTCGTTACCGGGGCAAACTACGCCGTCGACAAGCGCCGGTCGGTAAGTGCAGGAGGTCCGGTGCACGTCGGCCGTCCACCCCCGATCATCATCGTCGTCGTCGTCGTCGTCGTCGTCGTCGTCCTCGTCGTCGTCGTCCTCCTCGTCGTCGTCGTCGCCGGATGCTGCGATTCGGGGCACCACCACCGCTAGTGGTCTCCCGCCATGCCTCGTGGCACGCAGGCGCGCTTCCGCCCTTTCGTTCGCGTGGGTGTTGATCTCCTCCGCAAGCCCGGCCTTCGCGCCTCGACGCTGAACCAACCCCCGCGCGACCTCGGCGCCCTTCAGGGGCGGAAACCTCGCCTCCGCTGGCCCTCCGATCGGCGTCCCATCTAACCCCTTCCTCGACAACGTCGTCGTCCGTCTCGGCAGTATCGCTCGGAACGGGTCGGCAAGATGATCGGCGCCCTTAACGGCGCGCAGTCCACGTATATAGTTTATCGCTCGTGCAGACGACGACCATCGGCGAGACGAGGGTAATAATAATACGCGGCGTTCCATCCCTCGTCGTTCGAGACTGAGACGTTTTCGTTTCCGAGATATGACCACGTTTCTTGCCGCGTCGTCGTCGCGCCTCGTGCCGCACCAGCTAATCCGAAAGTCGACGACGGTGCCGCGATAAGGGCGGCAGCTGGATCGCGTGGACCACCGTAACGCATCGGACGTGTAACAGCTGGAGCGAGGGGAGGGGAGGGGAGCATCGTGTTCGCGGACACCGCGCGATGCTGGACCTCAAGAGCAGCGGTACCACCGCGGCGGAGCTACCACGTACCACGGCGTTCACCAATCTATCGATGCTCTTCGCCGGTACGTCTTGTTCTGTTCATCATCTGTGCTCGCGTTCACGCGTCTCCGTTTACGTTCGCTTGTGCCCGTACAATTTTCTAATATAGGGTGTCAAATGTGTTCAGTCAAGTGTGCTTGAATATCGATCGATTCGTGTTCCCACGCGTGTCCTTACCTGGTACCACCTGCGAATTTTTTTCACCCTCGGAATGTGTCGGTCGCGAACTATACGTATGCGTGATTCTGAAAATCTTTTCGTGCACTCGAATAATGAGAAATAGAAAGGATCTTTTATGATCCTTAGATTTTATATGCTATACGAATCTAATTTTTTTTATGTGGAAAATAGGGATCTATGTCATTTAATTATGCAAACATATTTTCAGAAGCAGGTGCAAGGGTTTAATTTAATCAGACACAGGAAAAAGCTGGTAATATACTACAATGTATGCGTGGATCGATGATAAACGCGCGTGTCTCTGGGTACTTGTCCGCGATAGATATGAGTCTTAATCCTTTGTACGACAAGAAATTGATTTTGAAATATATATTTTAAACAATTAGTTTACTGTTCTATCAAGAAGTAATTTAAGAATCTAATATGTGTTTCAGTTTAAAAAGCTTTTACTTTTATTTCATCCACAAAAGTATTATTTATCAAGCATTGTTAATTTAAAGAATTAAATATTTTTGTCGAATCCTTTAAATATAATAATCGATTGCTGTAAAATAATATAAAAACCATTATAAGGAACGAAAACTGATATGCGATATAGAGCTAATGATAGTTATGATAGTTTAATGTCGTAAAACGATTATCAGTGATAACGTGGCTCATGTGAGTGTAAGAGAAAAACAACCATTGATTAATTATTCTAAGGCAATTATAAAAAAATATACTGTTACAATGAAATTTCGTATAAGATCGATATGTTTACGTATATTTTTATTATGTAAAATACTTTAATTTTTATTCTGTGCATTTGCGTCTTCCAAATTTCTTTTAATCATAAATCATGGTTGTGTTGGAAGAATGAATTTATAAATAAAAATATTTATCTTGCATGCGTGCATATCAATTTCTTTACTATATATATTAACACTATCTTAACTTAATCGTTTTATGATTAGTATTAATTTTGAAATTTCGTATATAAGATCGATATGTTTACGTATATTTTTATTATGTAAAATACTTCAATTTTTATTCTGTGCATTTGCATCTTCCAAATTTCTTTTAATCATAAATCATGGTTGTGTTGAAAGAATGAATTTGTAAATAAAAATATTTATCTTGCATGCGTGCATATCAATTTCTTTACTATATATATATCAACACTATCTTAACTTAATCGTTTTATGATTAGTATCAATTTTATTTGCAATCTTACTAGCAAATTCGTCGAAATTCTTGTACTTGTTAGGATTTTCCGATAAAACCCGTATCTTGTAACGTCGCGTTTCACGAAAATCCCAAGGAAAACCGACACGTATTACCGAATGATCGGCGCACCCCTCGGTACTCGAGAAAACGTGAAATCCGAGGCTCCATTAATGGACTCCGGGTCTCCAGATCAAATGAAGGGGGCAGTAAAGACGAAAGATCGAGGCGGGCGTACCGCAGGTCGTACTGTTTGCTCCGGAAAGTCGAAGTTTCTGCCGCGCGATGTGACGTACCTACGTATGTACACACGAGGGTCGACCCTCGTGCCAATAACTGCCAAATGAAAATATATCTGTTCGCAAACACGCTACTGACGATCGCGCGTACGGGAACTCTCGAGAGAACTCGTGTTGCTCACGGCGAATATATAACGTCGCCGTCGCTGCCGCGCGAACATCTCCCGTGCACACGTGTTACAAATAATTCCCTATTTGTCTAACTGACATTTGTCCATCTTGCTCGGATATTATTCGAGCGACCGTATCGGTCGATCGGTCGAATCATCGATCAAATATATTCGAAAGAGGGAAAAATTAAGGATAAAGATAGACTTTTCAAGAAAATTAAAAAATATTTCGATTATAAAAAGAAGAATGTTTTTGTAACAATAAATCACATTTGAAGTATTTAATACAGTACAAGAAGAATCTTCTTTCGTAACGATAGAAATGTATTCATGCTTGTATTGAATTATTTGCACAGTTAATACAGAAGTAATTCGAAAATATTAATTTGTAATTTTATGACTCATTCTCAGATTTATCTGAGACAGTATATTTAATTATGTCAATGAATAAACAGAGGATTATATATATTATTTTAGGCATCTATTTTTCTAGTCTCGTTTTTCAACCATAAATTTTTTATAGAAATTGATGTGTAATTTAACTCATAAATACTATTTCATCTCTAATGCTTGCAGTTTATAAATTAACAGAATAAAAATAATATATGTTCAATTTTAAATAAGAGAAAATATGGACTGTTTATCACATACTCTGTATTTTTTTGCCACTATCTGACACATATTCATCTGACATACATTTTTTAAAAAATATATATTTTATAAAATATTAAAACGCGCGATTAAGATTTTAACGCAGTAGTCGAAAACTTTGCAATTTTTAAGCGCAAAAAGCGTAGATATATATGCCGAGAATAGATTTAAAAAACGATAAAAGTATTCGCGCAAAATATATCGCGTTCATGGAAAAACTGCTGGAAGCGTTAAAGTGTCGTAAAGATTTCGTGAAGTATAGAAGAACCGCGTTTTTTCCTCGCCAGAGCCACCTCGAAACGCTTACGCTCGTCTGATCAGATATACTTTACGGCTTCTCGCGATTCCTCGAACCGATTAACCGGTAATTGCGGACGATATACGCTCCCGCTACCGACGTGACCTCAAAAAGTGTAATCGCGATTGGTCCGGCTGGATCACGAAGTACCTGCCGGTTGCGCGGATCGATAAGCGGTAGATTTCTAATGCGCGTGTTGCGGCAAATCGAGAATTTTGTATTTTCACCGATTGAAAGAGAGAGAAAGAGAAATAATCCAAAAATGATTTTTCGAATTTCAGATGCTGGCAGCTCTTACAAGGGAGGCTGGAGTCACGCCACGTCGCCGGCACCTGGTCAAGGTGAGTCTCATCTCTGAAGTTTATACTTTAGATATAAAGCTATTTTATATAGTATTTATATATGTAGTATCAAGAAAAAAAATATGTTTATCTGTACAAAAATCCCATCATTATTTTCTGTGAAAAACAAAAATGTAAATAAGCAGATAATATAGGAATTTAAACAATATCCATAGAATATTTAAAAAGAAATATGTGGTTCTATATAAAATATTTTGAAATACACCTCTTATTTCTTTCTCTTGAAAAAAAAAAAAAATCTTGATACTACTAATATAAAATATTAAGCACAAAATATATAGTTTCTTTCTTCCACATTTTGTTATATCATCGCATTAGATTTCACCGAGAATTTCGTATTTTAACAAAACAATCTTTCAACCCCGTGTTAAATCGCCACCGACTGATAATAATAATAATCAATGGTTGGATCTTTCGTGTTTTTTTTCTTCAACTAAATTCCCATCATCGCAGATCGAGTGATCACCCAAGACGGTTCTCTAAAATTTCGCGACCCGTTTCGCTTGTCATGTATTGTGTTCCTCTCGCAAAAACTCCCTCTCTAAAAACCGAGTGGGGGTTTTCTTTCTCCTCGGTTCGCTAGACGCTACATATACGTAGAGGGTGGGTCGAGGCGCCGCTGGGTGCAACTTCACGCGTCGCGACGCCCCGTTCTTGTTCGGGCAAGCTTTGTGCGTGCAAACGCGTGGAAGATGCAAACGTGTGGGTGTCCGTGTGGATATCTGTGTGGGTATAGGTGGCGTCCCGGTGCTTTGTGGCGCGTTGAACCGCGGCCCCTTTGTCGTCGGCGGAGAGCGAATGAACGAAAGAGAGAGAGAGAGGGGGGTTGAGAGAGGGTGAGGTAGAGAGAGAGCAAACCCCGGAGGCTGTGTAGAGACGCCTGCCCACACGGTGGTAACGCCGAAGAGCAGACCCCACCCTGTGTGGACGCCAACACCGACGCTGGCACAATCATCTCGCGGAGATCACAGAACCCTGCCCGCGGGCATCTTTGGTTATAAACGGCTTCTGGCCGCGCCAACCAGGTTACAACGACCGTGATGACGGTGTTCGAGATCACCTTCGCGTCGCGACAGGACGTTATAGGTCCCGCCTTCAAACGCGTGTGAATGCGTGTGAACATCGGTCTCCACCTTGCCCGTATTAATTCGAGATTGTATTCAGGATCCACGCAGCCTGCCGTGTCACATATCTCTTAGCACCAGGCTTTAAACGTAATTTCATGCAACATATATATGTATATGTAGCATTGTTATATGTGACAAACGTATAGCAGATTACAAATAGATTTAACCAGACGACTTTGCACTATAATCTTCAATTGTTATCTCTGAACGATATATTTTAAATTAAGAATGAATATTCTACAATAAGGTTCCGTAATTATTCTGGGAGATATTTTATATGGAGAAAAATTATGACAGACCTGTGCCGTTTATTATTCCTTTATGCTTTTAATTAAATTAGCTATCAATTTATCGGAAAACATGATCGAAAATCTTTTACTATTATCTTTTACTATTATAACTTATAGGATAATGCGAAAATGAAATTTGGTCTCTCTTTGATCTTTATCTTGGAGCACTTTATCTCAAAGTTTGATGAAATTATTTGAAAATGTGTAAATTGATAATAGAATTGTTTTAGTTGTATTATATAATATATTTAGAATTCTGCAAATTAAATTTGTTTTTTGAAGAGATAAGATTTTTCGTGGAGAGAAAAATGTTTAATTCTTTCCTCGCGTCCTCTGAAAGTTTAATTTTCAGGTGTTTCTCGCGACGTACGCACGAATCGTTTTAGCACACGGCGTGAGCCAGCTTCGGGGCATTTTCGAATAGCGTGCTCCAGCACCGTCCTCTGATCTTGACAGGCACGGGGGTTGCCTTTGACTCGGTTTGCGCTTTGCGCCGCGACGCGAAAGGGAGCGACATCGTCGTCACCACCGAGATTCATGAAATTACTTGACGTGACGCGCGTTGACCCGAGGGCACTTTGCGGTTCTCCAGACCGCATGAAATTGAAATTACAAGCTTGTCTCTTCCTACAGTAGCTCAGATTAGACCGTATATTTTTTCGATAAATAGATTACAAATATAGAAGAAGTTAAGAGTTCGCGAGTCATCTAAATGTCTATTTATGGTAAATGATATTACGTATACATATGTATGTGAAAATATATTTAACTCATAAGTTTTTATTTTATCGATATTCGTCAAGATATAAAATTTTTGTCAAAACAATAATTTCATTTCAAATACTTGACATTTAAATAATATTTTTTTTATATTGTATATTCACAGAGCTAGTTAAAGTATATAGCTTTAAATTATTTTAACTTTGAGAAATATATTTGATATAATATATGTGTATTATATGAACTCTTTAATCCCTGCTATCTAAAAATGTTATAAAAATGCTTTAAAAAAATTTTATACGAAAATAGCTATTAATAATAAGACTATGTGAGAAAATCGAAGAAATGTAAATTTGTTCTCTAAACCATGCGTTCTAATGCAAATTATTTCCTCGTTTATGCTCGCGATATTCCAACATCCGTAATATCCTGCAAGGACAATGATGAACTGACACCCGTGAATTAACACATTAGAGATATATCTGCGGAACCGGGTAATTCGAGTATGCCCATTAATGTTGTTCGCGTGCTTGATGACCCAAAGTTGTTTCATGTTTCGAAGCAGGTCATGTTCATATAACCTTTTCGTACCAAAATGCACATCAAAATGTTATACTATTCCACGCGATTCGATTAAAAGTCAAAGTAGTTTAAAAAAAATTTTCTCGTTTGAATTACTCACTTTAGAAGATTTAATTATCCTTAATAACGCCTTCACAGACGTTATCAATTTAAACTTTTGCAGTATTTGAGCAAATTTCTTAATGATAACATCTAAATGCGACTCACTATATTTGATTTATTTGCTATATCTTGGCATAAAAGTCTCGCGTCGGGCGTCAGGTCAATTGAATTCTAATGATTTTTCTTCTATTTCATAGAGAAAAAAATGACAGATTAATGTTGTATAATCGAAAATCCTTAAATTTTAATTTAAATTCTTAAATTTGACTCTTATATTTTCTTGAAAGAGATAACGCTAAATATCGCTAAATTGTATCTGTGTCATTTCCTCTTACGCGAATGTTTAAACTCTTAAACGCAATAGAGATGATTACATAAGCTTAGCGTTATAAGCATTTTTCTTTATAATAAATAATGTAAAAAATTACTTCGGTTACAATTCAACAAAAGCGCTTAGAAATTCATTTTAACGAGTGTAGCTCATTTTATTACGTGACAACTTATAAAAAAAGTATAAAGCAGGTTGATTCGAGAGATTTCGAGATCGTTGTGGGGCGCGCTCGCGCATCAAAGAATGTCACGTCGCATTTATCGACCACCAAGCAGGTGGTTTCAGCGATCTGCCCACTGGTCAGGAAAAGCGACTTTAAGACGACTGGTAGAACAATAAAAGCACTCTCTCTTTCTCCTCCCACCTACTCCGTTGTTTGCCCTTCTGTTCCCCCAGTGTGCCTCGCGTGACTTTCTGACCTGAGTCGATCGACTTTCGACCCCCTGCGTTACGTGTATGTGTCTGAGGGCAACCCTATGATAATTACGTACTCCCGAGCGGCGCGTGCCTTGGCAATTCGCTCACACGCGCCCGATCGCGTATGGCGTGACTATCCTCGACACCATAGGTATAGGTAACTATCTCCCCTTCGTCCCGATCTGAATTTGCCTCCCTTAAATATGTACGGAGTGATTGACGCTAGAACGTAAAATCAGGAGATATCCCCATAATGCAAAGTTCAAAATCTCTACAGATTATCTAATCTTTCCGGCTCTTCAGTCTTTTTTTTTTTAGAAATTTGATGAGTTAATTTGAAAATCTTTTCAAGGAATTATTTCGAGACGCCATAACACGTAGTGAAAATTAAAACATTGTACGATTTGAAAAAAATATATTGACACTGTTAACATCTCGGTCACAAATCTAATAACTTTATTTTGTATAAATAGATTATAATTGACTTTTCATAAGTCTTTGGAAATTAATATATATTCTTGATTATATCGCGAGAATAATTAATTTTTTATTAATGTATAGAAAACGTGTACGATTTTTATAGGAAACAAAATTAATTAATTACATATTGAAGTAATCGTCATGTCGATAAAATCAGGATTGGGAACTCGTTCGAGAATAAGCTTTGAATTCGTGAGAATTTCCGAATCATAGATTCTAAAACGTATCTATAGAGAGGGAGCGACCGGAACCCGGGCCAGGAAGAGCAGGCCACCGGATCTTGCTGGCACGGGTTCCGCTCGTCCCTGGACCCCGCGGGGTCACGAGACCGAAGTCCTGGGGGACACGGATCGTAGGCAACAAGTCACTGGGAAACGGCGCGTGACCAGCGCATTCCGCCACCAGATTTACGACAAGAAAAATGAAGAAGGGTAAGCAGGGCTCTCTTTCTCTCTCCATTTCTCTCGGAAGACAACAGGGGTGTCGATCGGATATGATGCGATTCCACATTTTAACGCTACTTGAAATATTCATTGAGCATTCGCGTCTTTTTCTATGTATATTTTTTTAATATACAATATATACATAAAATATTATGATAGGATATATAAAATTGTAATTCAAAAAATAATTAAATTATAACAGTGAGCATAAAAAATTAGAACAATTCAGTAAGATTCCGATATAAATTTGCAGTGTACTTATAATAATAATTTTGATAATAAAATAAAAATTTTATATCTGATTGTTGATGTGGCTAATCGCGAGTCGTGATCTTTTCGCGTCTCGAAAAAATGCATCGATAGGCATACGCTGTCTTGGTCGGACTGTTATTCTTTCTTGGCATACAAGACCGGGTAAATTGGAATCGCACAGCAGAAACGTCCGTAGCATATTGCAGGGGTTGCGGGACACCGTTGTCGGAGTCGC